ATAGGCCCAAGGACATTTGCAAACATAAACTCATTTTTGTTGAACTTTTACCTCTAAATTGTTAAAATTATAGCAATCTCCCTTTACCATTAACTTTGACTATTAGTTGATCAAAATATTATAGAAAATTATTTCAAAAATTATTTAAAAAAAAGACCAAAAGAATCATAGAAAAAATCCAAAAATTACAGAAAATAACTAAAAAATAAAATTTGTAATTTTTAGGTCCTTTTCTATGAATCTTTTGCTTTTTTTTTTATAATTATTTAATCAACTAATAATTAAAGTTAATGGTAAGATGAGATTGTCACAATTTTAAAAAATATGGGTGATAATGCATAGAGCTGGGCTTCGCTGGAGCTAACAGTTATAGTTGGCCCCTCCTCACAATAAACACTACGTCATTAGAAAATGATGGAGGTGAATCCGTGTTGTCATATAAAGAAGATTGCAAAGAAAAGTCTAAGACTCTTTTAGTTATGTTTTGAGTTTGAACTTGGAATCAATATTTATGAGGTAAAATGACAAGTGAAAGCATTAATAATAATGGAAGACATTAAATTATTGAAATATCATAGAAATATCATAGTCTTTTATTTGAATTTAAAAATTAAATAACTATTATAATAATCAATGAATAGAACGTGACTTTTGAATTTAAGTAAAGTTAGTTGTAAATTTAAATAATACTCTTTCCGTCTCAAATTATAAGATACTTTTAGGAAAGATTTAATGTTCCAAAATATAGGACACTTTGATAAAAATAAAGTTTTATTAATGATACTTTTTTAATATTATCTTTTTTATATATTCTCTCTCTTCAATATTCTTTCATCAATAAAGTATTAAATGAAAGGTATTTTTAAAAGTTTATATTTTTGTCTTAAAAAAGTAAGGTAATAAAGTGTATTTAATAAATTTTATTGGTATGTGAGATTTTATCTAAAAGTATTTTATAATTTAAGACGAAGGTAGTATTGCTTATGAAATATAATATAATTTTATTAAAAATTTAATCAAAACTGTTGAAAAGCTTTGATTTAAAGGTGATGATGAGTAAAGGAGGGAAAATGAGAGTAAGAGAAAATGAGAGATCACTCATCTAATAAATAACATTACATTAGACCTTTTAAATAATTTTTCTAAAAGACTTCAGAAAATAACTCATTTCAGATTGTCGTAAATATATTTTGAACAGCACCGTGAGTTGAGTTGTGCATCTGAACCTCTTGCCACCGCTTCAAGCTAATATAATAAACAATGGCAGGTTCAATAATAATAATAATAATAAACAATGGCTATGTAAAAATCATCTATAACTCCTTGAGTAATGTATCTTTTATGCCCCTGAATAAAAACCAACAAAAAAACTGAATAAAAAAAATAAATTAACCCTTAAATTATAAAAGTCTAAAATCTTAAATTCATTTTAACATAATGTCGGAAGAATTTCATGTGAGAACACTTGACTCAACATAATGAAAAAGATGACCCCAAAATTTTTGAAATTTCACTGAAGAACCTGTATAGAATTTCTTTTAAATTTGTAACAGAAATGTTGAAATTTTCCTTATTTAAATGAATAACATAAATGATTTGTTTATTTTCATATTGTATGTTATTCATTTATTTATGAAATGTTATTTATTTCTTTATTTCACTTGTTTATAGTCTCACTCTCACTTGATTTCATTTCAAGGGCTATAAATAAGTGAAGTAGGAAAACCAACAGCATTTCATAAGTAAATGAATAACATATAGTATGAGAACAAACACGTTGTCTTATCATAAAACTAACACTTGGAATAAAATCAAGTAAAACTAGGGCTATAAACCAGTAATGTTAGATCATTAATAACATTCTATAAGTAAATGAATAATATACAATATGAGAATGAACATGTCGTTTATGTTGTTCATTTAAATTAGGGTAATTTTGTTATTTTTGTCACAAATTTGAAAGAAATTCCAAATGTTTAGTGAAATTTCAAAAATTTTGGGGTTTTTTTTTAATGATGTTGGGTCAAGGGTCTCCAACTGAAATTTTTCTTATGATGTCCCCCTTAAACTTTTGAAAACAATACAATCTAACCCTTACTATTAATAAAAGTTAACTTTTACCATTAGCTAACCAAAAAATAATAAAAAAAGATCACAAAAATTATCATAAATGATGCAAAAATTACATATAATAACAAAAATTATAAGAAAAGATCAAGAAAATTTTATTTTTAAAAAAATAATTTTTGAACTCTGTCTATTTTTTGATCAATTAACTGTTAAAATTAATTTTTATTAATAATAAGAGCTAAATTATATTATTTTTAAAATTTAAATAAGAACATTAAATTAACAATAAATTTAAAATTTTTAAATTTATAATTTAATGGTCAATTTGTCCTGTTATTCTAAAAAATTATATAATTATTATTACATAGTACAAAATAAAATTTCATTGCATTGCTGTCACGGAAACGAAACAGGCCCAAGGAGGGATGGACCACACGCAAATAAAATTTCAGACGTCATATCTTATAATCTTCTAATCTTATTTTTAAATTATTTTTAATATATTTAATTAAAATCAAAAAAGTTTTTAAAACTTATCAACTCTATTTAAAAAATTTAATAAATGCTCAACTGTACTCTTATTTTCTTGTCAATAATTTTACATTTATTAAATATATATAATTTAATAATATATTATTTCTCTTCAACATTTAATAAAAAATAATAAAAAATTATTTGTAATAAAAAAAATTGATGATATAAGTTATAAGTATGATAAAAAAAAAAATTCGTATATGTCTTGTGAATAAAACCGAGGGACTATATGACAAAATAGACAAGATTTTCACTGTTCGTGAAATCATGAACAGTGAAGTGAATAGTAGACATTGCGTCGTTCAAAAGTATAATATTTTTTAAGAAAAATTGTGGTATTCTTTTTTATTTTCCATCAAAAAATTCAAGATTATTTAACTATTCTGACTACCGACATTTTAAGAAATATTTAAACATTATATTTTTATAATATTTTACTAGAATATTTTAAATTATATGATTTTTAATTACCTTTAATTTTTGCATCTGTCATAAAATAAATGTAGGGATATTAATAATCATGCTATTAATAAAATTGATCAGTGGTTTAGCGGGACCATTCATTTATTAATGAAAGTATAAAAAGAAAATTTTAATAAATAGTACATCAAACAAATAATAGTTGTTTCGTACAAGCATGATCAAAGGACCTCAATTAAAATTCTCTTATAAAAAATAGAAAGATAACATACTTATCATTTAATTAAACTTCTAAAAAAAGTTAACTAATATCCGGGCATCGCACGTACTAAATTAAATCCAGTTCATTTGTATTGTACCTATATATAAACAAGGGATGGAACAAAAGTGGATAAAAATTCAGAGCCCGTATTCATTTGTATTGTACCTATACGTACTGTTCATCCTGCTCTGATGAACAACCCAAAACAAATAGAAAAAGTCAAATTGTAATCAATCTAAAGTCGGCAAGACGGCTAAGTCTATATATAAAAGGACCATATCATGAGACGAATATGCTGCAGCGGACTTCGCAGGAACATAATAAGAGGAGATAATATTTATTGAGTCTCAAGATAAATTTGTGTAAAATACAATAATTTTTTTGAATATTTGTTCAAATTATAGAACTCTTTCTTTCTTTTTTTAACTTATATTTTATTTCATTTTTTTATAACTTTTTTAGGAATATTTCATTTAAGATTTAAAATGATTAATTTATTAATTAAAATCATGCCAATATTTTAAATTATCAATTTGTCCTATTCATTGTTAATTATTAATTTATCCTCACAATATAATTGTTTTTTTCCTCTTGGTCTCTATTTAAAAAAAATTGTAGCTATTTTCATTAGATAAATTGGCCCACTGGCACAAAAAACTAAGAAAATATGGATCAAATTTTGAAAAGTTGAAGGTGGGCTGGTTTACATTAATATATAAGAGATATATCATTGATATTTAAGAAATTTATTATTAAAAATTTAAAAAAATTATAAAGGGTTTTATCATTGGGTATGTCATTGATAAATAAAATAAATCAGATATAATATAAAATATAATAAATATTGAGCTGTTTGCTTAATTTATACCTATAACATGGGTTATATTTACAAAAGCCTCTTTTTACATTAAAATGTTTTAAAAATATTAAAATTAATTAATATAAATTATTCTGACTAGGATAACTGATCAGGATCAAGTTAGCATTCCTACTTTTTAATCCAAGTCATGCCCTTTATATATACATTAGTATCACTAACTACCAAGTAATTACCACCTAATCACTTCTAAAACTCCAACAATTTATGTTATGAAAATTTTATATTGAAGGGATGCTTAAATAGGTTTTAAAATAAAGTAGTAGTTGGTGTACTTTATTCTAAATTCATTATTTTTTCCGTCCAAAAATAAAGTATTTTTTTGAAGAGTTATATGTTCAAAAATGTAAGGCATTTTTAATTTTTTAATATGTAATTATTGCTTTTTTTTAAAAGTGCCCTTTTTGGTAATAATTTTATATTTATTGTAGGGTATTTAATAGGAGTAAATATGAACAAATAGGGTTAGTTGAAAAGTATGTGACTATTTTATTGGGGGATGAAATTCGGTTAGAAATGACTTATATTTTTGAACAAAGGAAATAGCATTTAAGTTTCAAAAAACTGTTATTGAAAGATGAGTTGTAAATATTATTTCATACAGATTTAAGTTGCAAATAAGCCTTTAAATTTTATAGGTGAATCCCATTTTATTGGTTTCAATATTTGCAACTAACTTTGTATGACATTTGCAAGTCCTCTAATTTTTGTCACGGAACTTCGTTAAAGTCATCATTTAGTGGGGCTAAAGTGTCATTTCTCCCGTATATGCTGTTGAATGATTCGTTGTATATAGTAATCATATCGAAGTGTCTTATTGTCTTCAGATAGAAAAAAAAATTAAGAGCATAATGTTGCCGTACGTGACGATGGAGGAAGCAGAAGAAGCAATGGGAAGAGGGCTGAGTTATGCAGAGAGAGTATGGTTCAGATACTCAGCCAACAAATCAGACTTTGTACTTCACTGCCATAACATAGTGTTCTTGTGCTTCTTTTATTCTGCGGCTTCTCTTCCTTACGTCTTCATTGAGCTCTGCAACAACAAGAGCATAGTGAAGTGCAAGGTTCAGCCAAGGGTCAGAAACACTTTCTGGCAAATGTTCAAGTGTTACAAGAACGTCATGCACACTTTCATCCTCGCCGTTGGTCCTCTTCAGATTCTCTCTTTTCCAACCGTCAAGGTAATTTTCTGATTGCATGCAGAAAAATTGTTTCAACAAAAAATTTAATTTGCCAATTAATTGAACAGTGTCTACTTTGTTCTCCTTCTTCTTCTTCTTGGAATGAACTTAGACGAAAGGTCAAGTTTTTCCAGGATTTCATATCCTCTTGACGGCTTCTCTCTCGCCATATCCCTGCACGGCACCCATATCCAAGTCTTTAAATTCATCTAGTGTTGCATGTCTTGCCACGTCATACCATGTTGTAGAAGCGAAAAACTTTGATAAAATTTAGTTGTATCAAAAACCAATGTTTTTTGGCTTATGCAAACATTGGATGACATGACAAGGCATAGGATAAGAGTTTCAATATAGGCACCATGCTGGGACATAACCAGAGCATAATATGGAAATAATCTAGATTAACCCATCAAGTTAAATTAATAAATCGTTAAACTAATATTTTAACTAGTTTAATAAAATGCTTTATTTATGATTGATTTAATCATAATTTAACTTTAATTTTGATCATTGATCTTTAAATTAATAGTGCACTAATTGGTTTAATAATTGATTTAGTTTTGATACCTTGAGTGAGAGAGAAACACTTGAGAGGACTTGGATATGGTTTTTCATAAGTTCAATATAAAATTCCCGAACAAAAAAAAAATCTAACTCAAAACATGATGGGGAAGAAATAGCAGTTTAAATTTTATATATTTTTTTAAACTTCATCTTGAATTTTGAGTGATTTATAAATACTTTTATAAACATAACCCAAAACCAACTCACATAAACTTTCTTATATCAATACCAATAGAATGCTTAAATTTCTAGATTTTTTTCCTTCATTTTTAATTTTTCTAATGCAAATATCGGCAAAATTATTCAACCGATAAAAATTAAGTGATCCCAATTCATTACCGTTACAACCCAATCCAAAAGTCATGTTTGATCTTCCTTTTTGTAATAACACACTATGATTTTTCTTTAGTTGCTTGGTATTCGAACGGACCTCTCGTTGCCATCTGGATGGGAATTCGTCTTGCAATTGTCGGTCTATTTTATCATTGAAGATTTTGCAAATTACTGGATCCATCGGATCCTCCATAGTCCATGGGCCTACCAAAAGATCCACAAGGTCCACCATGAATATAAAGCTCCGCATGGGCTCGCGGCCCCATATGCACACTGGGCTGAGATTTTGATTTTGGGCTTTCCCTCCTTTCTCGGCCCAACTTTGGTTCCTTGTCATATAACCACGTATTGGTTGTGGTTCGTTTTGCGACAACTTGAAGCCATTGAGACCCACAGCGGGTAATGAATTTCATTTCATAATGTACCATTAACAAGTTAATTGAATCTCTGAATAGAGCTCGAACTTTTTCTTGAAATTTTCTTTACAGACTAAAATAATTATGAAATTTGTCTTCTTAGTCGTAGGAAATCATAATATATATATAAAATTTTATCTATGTCTTTGGGAAGGATGGATGTTTTCAAAGCTGCTTGGAGTTTTCTAATTGTCAAAATTAAGAGACTATAAAATATTCCATTTCATTGCTATTATAATTGGTGAACTAAAATATTTCATTTCTAATGTTGAATCATTGTTTCCACGTTTGAAATTATAATTTTTTGGCTGACGCTGTTGAGAAAGCTAGATTGCTTATCGGAAGAAATTGGACTGTTAATTTCAATTGATTTTTTAATGGAGATTTTGCTAGTTCTTGGCCTTATAGTTTTTTGTTTATCATCCTCCATCTTGGTATATATTCGTAATTATTTTTTAACGTTGTAACCTCTTGTATTAAAGAATAAAAAAAATTTCCATAAAAATTATAATTGTTTGGCTTTTATTTCTTAAACTTTTTATTAATAGGAAATATATTGCATTGCATTAACTTTTTACTGTATAGTATATCCAATAGCTTTCATGCTTTGCTTTAAAAGAAAAAAACGCCAAACTCAATGTTTCAAGTAATGATACCGTTAGTTGGTTGGAATTAGTTATGTTTAAGTTTAAAAATATAAAAAACTAATTTTTTTTTTTTTTCTGCCATATGATCCCATAGTATCTTGTACCATAAAAGTTAAATACTTCAAAACTAGATTTAAGTCCTCCAAAATTGATATTCATGAATTTTTGTGAATATTTTCCCTTTAGTATTTTTCTCATTTTTATTATTTTTTATAAAGTATAAAATCTTTTATTCTTTCCTTAAAAATATAAAAATTCACAAAAATTTACATATGTCAATTTTAGATTATTTAAATCTTTCGAAGCTACATGCATAAATTATTAATATTTGTATTTATCCTTTTCAAAATGCAATTTTCTTTATCATTTTATTATTGTTATTGATAATTATTCTATTTTTTGTTGTGAAATATAGTTATGAATTTCCATGGAGTCCCACAAAATACATACCATTTTATGGAGGTGCTACTTACCACGACTACCATCATTTGGTTGGTGAAAATTGTCAATGCAACTTTGCCTCCGTATTCACTTATTGTGATCTTATTTATGGCACCCACAAGGTATGTTCATATTTCCTTGGTAATCATTTTAATTATAGTATAAAAATTTGGATCAACCTGCCTGATTAATTTGGTAACTATTATTAACCAGTGTTTTGATTAGTTTAATAAAATATTTTATTTATGATTGGATTGATCACGGTTTCGGTTATGATTTTAACCATTAACCCTTAAACTAATATTTTTATTAATTTAATGATTAGTTCAATTTTCAGTACCTTAATTTCAAATGCTTATCAAACAAATTCAATATAGATATTTTGGTGAATCATGGACAAATAATTCTCAATCATATATTGTACTTAATATGAGACCTTTTTAATTGAATTAAGTAGATTAAGGTAAGAGGTTAAAAATATTAGTGAACAATCATTCTTGGTTTTTTTTTCAAATGGATATATCATTTGAAAACTACTACCTCTAATATATTTTAGGTGAATATCAATGAAGGACTCCTAAAAAATTTTAAAATTTGGCAAGAACTCTGAATAGATTAGATGTTTGTTAAAACAATAATTTACTTGTTGATTTGTTTATGCTTACTTGTTAGATTGGATATCAAATTTTTTCAAGAGTCCTTCATTGATATTCTCCCTTCTATTTTCTAAAGCACTTTGGGATAAATTAAAAGGTAAAATAGCAATTTAAACCCTTAAATTATAGGCCCTTGAGCATTTGGGAACATAAATTCATTTTTGATGAATTTTTACTTTTAAACTTTTAAAATTGTGGCAATCTCCCCTTATTATTAACTTTGACTTTTAGTTGATCAAGATATTATAAAAAATAATCTCAAAAATTATAGAAAAAGATTACAAGAATCATATAAAAGGACCTAAAAATTTCAGAGAATGACAAAAAATAAAATTTGTAATTTTTGGTCTTTTCTGTAAATCTTTTAATTATTTTCTGCAGTTTTTTATGTCTATGTCTTTTTTTTTTTGTAATTTTTTAGTCAAATAAAAGCCAAAATTAATGGTAGGGTGAGATTGTCACAATTTTAAAAGTTTGCAATTAAAGTGTATTAAAAATCAGTTTAGGATCTCAAATATTCATAATCCTATATAAGTGCTCAATTGTCAAATTAAATAGATTTTTTTTTTTATTAGCATATCATAAATGCTGCGTTGTGATATGTAATGAATCCTTTATATATAGGACCAACTAAAAAGGTCATACATGTTAAGAACGAGGTGGAGAGATTAATACGTAGTTATGATCGTTTCATTTTATATTATAAATTAAACAAATGGAGGTGTCTCTTGCAGGGATACCGATACAAGACGAAGCTACTAAAGAAGGCATCTCTGAATCAACAAAACCACAAAACAGAGTAGCTGTTACCAGCAAATTAACATGTAATTGTTGTGAGGGCATGCATGGTTCACAAGGCTTGATATGCTTAATATATAGAGTAGGGACTAATTTGTATTAGAATATAAAATATGTACTGTATAAGTTTTATGTTGCATAAACATCACGCTCTATTATTATAATTATAATTATAATTATAAATTATAATATTATGAGAATACATATATACATATACATACACATACATAAATACATACATACATACATACATACATATATATATATATATATATATATTAATTCTTGAGATTCTATTCAGTTTTAATTTTTAATTCAATTTCATATTTAATATATTGCAATTATAATGAATTCTCACCTTTCAATGTTTATTAAGTTATTTATTATTGGGTTAAGGTGCAATTTTTTTTTCCTAAACTATTCTCAAAGGTGCAATCACTACTACAAAATAACTTTTTTACATCACATTTTTAAACATTTTTACATCACAATTAAAGGAGACATTATATTAGGCAACTTATAATGATAGTTTATCTATATTACATATATCCATGACGTGAAAAGAATTAACCACATTCCCTTTAAGAAAGGGGGTGTGGTTTTTAAACAAACCACGTCCCACTCTCAAAAAGGAAAGATGGTTTCCCATTCTTATAATTTATAGGAATGGAAAACCACATTCCCCTTTTAGTAGTAGTGACGTGGCTTTTATCCATACCACTTTCCTTTTTTAATATTGGTGACGTGGTTTTTATAATTTTTTAAATATATAATTTACATTTGTTTTACAATCAAAATAAAACCTACTAAAGTATCCCACAAAAACAATCATTCATACAGCCAAAGTCTAGCAAATAGCAACTCATATTTATAGCTATTTATACACTATTACAACAAAATATATCAAATTAAGTATACCAATAGAACAATAAAACTATTGTCACCTATTCAAGTGTCAATATCTACGGCCAAATTTCAAACAAACTACTTGACCACATTAGTGTTCATATCCTTCTAACTTTTCATTATTTTTGCTAAAATTCTAATTTAATGGACAAACTATGAAATCACTATATAAATAGCTCTTGAAGAAGATAACCTGTTAAATTGTTTCGAATGTCACTTATGTTTTCATTAGTGTAGGGCTACTCATTGTCAAAAAGCTACAAATTTCATCAGAAGTTTATTAGATTTTCAAATTCTAAAGCTTTGCAAAACTAGTATTATTAAAATAAATAACAAAGTAACTTACCATGTGTAAATTTTTGTTAGTTTCGGATTGAATAATCTCATACATATAACGGATAATAAAATATCTGCACTCTATACTCCCTATTTGGTGATGGCATTGAAAATTAAAAGTCAAATGATAAGTATAAACAAAATATATATGAAATAATTGTGGATAAAAAGTATTAAATTAAAATTACTTACATTTTAAAAGATCCAAGTCAATAGGAGATTTTTTGACATACATTTTTTGGTGGGCAACGCTTTTCCCTGGTCATATAATATATCTTTAGTGCTTTATATAAAATTTAAATAAAACATAAAGTATTAAGGGTTAATGAGCAAAAATGAACCCTAAACTCTTGCTCAAAAAAGTGCTCTGGATTTTAAACTCTTAAAATAGGCAAAATAAACCCTAAACTTTTAAATTCATAGCAAAATGAATCCTGCCTGTTAAATTTTCAAACACCATTACTGTTCATGCTCTATTGTTCACTGTGGGCCTTGGTCAATACTGATGTGTCATTGTCAATGAACGCCATAGACCCTAAACTATTATGTTAGTAGCGTTTTAAACCCTGAACTTTAAAATTTTGAGTCAATTACCTCTACCATTTATATATAGAACATTGATTATTATATAGATCAAATTAACTTCAGCGTGATTCACCGCGGTAAAATGCATTATTGGCCATGGAAAACAACCTATAATTTTGTGAAATGATATTTTTTGCCCTTTTTTACAATGTTTTCCAAATGATTAGTATCTCATGCTTCTGTATACTTTATAACTTTAATTTACTCTTATTTTGAATAATATTTTTATTTATTTAATGGTAAAAATTTAGGATCCCATTTGAAAAGAAGTTTAAGTATTATAGGATTTTACAAACGATGGACACGAAAGTCAATGATTTCATCAATGAATTTAAAACTCAAATTAATCGATTAATTAAAATTATCTAATATTTAAACTTCTTTTTAAATAGGATCCCAAATTTTTACTATTAAATAAATAAAAATTACTAAAAATAAGACTAAATCAAATTTATAGAGCATATGAAAGTACGGGATACCAATCGTTTGGAAAATATTGTAAAAAGAGCAAAAAATGTCATTTCATAAAATTATGGGTTGTTCGCCACAGGCAACGATGTATTCACTGCAATGAACTATTCTGAGGCTAATTTAATCTATATAATAGTCAACGTTCTATACATAAATAGTGAGGATAATTTTCTCAAAATTTTAAAGTTTAGGATCCAAAGCGCTACTAACATAATAGTTTAGGGTATTAATAATGACATGTTATCATTAACTATGGTCCATAGTGAACAGTACTGTGTGAACAGTACGACGTTTAAAAATTTGACTGTCAGGGTTCATTTTGCTATGAATTTAAAAGTTTAAGGTTTATTTTATGTATTTTAAGAGTTTAGAATTTAGGGCATTTTTTGAGCAAGAGTTCAAGGTTCATTTTTCTTATTAACCCAAGTATTAAAACAATGTAAATATCTAATATTTATAAAAATAATCTTAACTTATGTGTCAAATATATTTTTAGTTTCAGCAATAGATTGTTTGCTTATGGAACAAAACCAATAGATCTCATGCAAATGCAAGCATACAACACAAAGGGACTAATCATAACTACAAAGAGACAAATGAAATTAGTACATGAAAATAAAAAAATATTATCAAACTAAATATATATATATATATATATATAAATGAATATAAAAAACTTGCCCTTTAAGAATTGGGGTTAGATAACATGGCAATTTTATTTCTAAAATAGTATTGCCTACATATCTCGTCCTATCATTGATATCGTTGCGAGTCGATGATAAAGAAGCTGGACACAAAAATCCAAATTGATCTTTCTAGGGTCCAGTGTAAAGATTACTGAGAAACCTATTAATAAAAGGATATAAAAATTATTGCATATAAATTAAAATAAATGATGATGAGATAGAATATAGTTCATAAAATTATAAGATAGATAACATAGCCTATGAGATAGCCGGCTCCTTCATCAACAAGAATTCCAAGATGTCTTTCTTATCAATTTCTAGAATTCAAGCAACTCTATGAAGCTCGAATCGGTCTACTCACTTCTTGGTTTTAAGTTAACCAATCCTAACATAGCTGTCAAGAGTGTAAACTTAGTAAACTTAGAGTGTAAATTCAAGCAACTCTACATCACTACGCAAGTTGTCATATACCTATGAATGTGCAAATGATGTCATCTTAATATCATAAATTATATCCTCTATCCTATCATCCTAATCATTAATAATTTGCTCATTCTGGGATATAGAAGTTGTTCTTACTTTCCCTTACCATATCCATTTTGTATACCTTAAATTTATTCCATCACAAATTAACTGCTCTTTTATTTCATCAATAACTAGTTCAATCTTATTCATGTAGGTAACACAAGAACAACAATACTTCCTATTTTTACTAGGAATATTTTTTCTAGCAAATTCAAGAAACTAATCCACACCATCCTCATACTCCTCAATCATTCTACTAGCATTCATTCAATTACAATCCATTTTATTTTTACCTAATAAATAATCACAGTCCATCAAATTAGCAATTCACTAGCTTACTTGTGCTTCAATTAGACTCATTTCTAAAACACATTGACAAAGTCTCCCCTTAAAGATTGAACATCTTAAAATTACAACAACCAGAAATCAATAGAACCAACAAGCAATTAAACAAATATTTACCCACTAAAATTAGAAAAATATCAAACTTTAGCATATCCAAGTTCAATTTCTAAAAAATAATTTAGCAAAGTCTGCCCTTAAAATTTAACATCCTAAAATTGCAACAATTATAAACCAATAGAAGTAGCGAGAAATTAAACAAATATTTCCTACCTGAACTAATTCTCAAACTAAATTCAATGCTTGAATTTCTTTCTTGCCAATATTGTATACTCACTTTATAAATATTATCTAAAGTATTATTTTTATTGATTTTGTGTGGAAGGTTTAATGCAAGGAGGACCTATAATTATATGATTATAATAGTATCTAAAATATTATATATTCTCTTTATAAGTCTATAATTCAATCAAATAAAATTTGATAAAACATATATATGCAAGGAGGACCTCACTATTATCACAAATTCTCAAGTGCAGCATTCTTTGTTTTAATTTTCATCAAACTATATAACTAAATCAAAGCAAATATATCACTTACGTGGAGACAAGCTGGAGCGTGGAAAATTGGACAAAAGGTGTGGAAACAAATTGGAAATAAATCAAAGAAATAAATCTTGTAGGTGTAAAGCTGAGTGGAGATAACTTAGCAAATAAAAAAGAAAGAAAGAAAGAAAGAAAATATACCTAGAGTGTGTAGGAGACAGAGCTATTTTAAGAGAGAAGAGGAGAGGGGTAGTGGGAGAGATGAGAGACCAAGAGATAAGACCTATGTGGGTCTCGCAAGTGTGAAGCTACTTAGTTATGAGTGGTTAGGGTTTCGTTGAGACAAAGAGGAAGTTGAGAGATAGAGACAGAAATGGATATGAGAGATAGAGAGGGAGGGAGCTACGAATTAGGTTTTTTGGAAAGGTAATAGAGATAGAGACAAAGAAGGAGAGAGCTGAGAGACATAAAGACAGGTAGGAGATAGAGAGGGACCTATAGGTTTTGAAAATAGAAGCTGAAACTTGAGACGTTTAGGCACGGGGCTCCAAAAATTAGACTATTCCATGTCACCCACCACCAGGAAGGGGATGTGGATTGTAGAATCAACGTCAATTTACAAGAATCTAAGTCCCCTACTTTTTGGATGATGTGGATTCGTAAAAATTAAAAAAATAATTTTTTTACAATCCATGTTCTCTTTTGTTTGGGTGATGTGGATTGTTTTCTTTCTAAATCACCAATTCTAAATGTGACATGAATTAGCATAGTAGAAGTGCCATTTTGTAAGTAAATGTTGCCCCTAAACTA